GAAATATTCATTTTTAGAGCGTTAGTGAATTAAAAAAAGGCAGTATAAAAACCGGAATGTCCAACTGATAAGGCTGAAAATTTTTTCACTTGTTATTTACAGTAAGATAAATACATTCACCAACTTTTATTAAAATAAAACCATTTAAACTGGGTGTTCGGATTTATATATCACTTAGTATATAAATATACTTGTTCCAAAGATTTTGTGTTTTCAAGAGAAATCGTACAACCTGCCGGTGCGAAAGGGTCCCGAGACTGTCTGTTAGAGAAAAGTTATAGATTAGTTTATATTTAGTCGTTGACTAGAATAGGTGTCATTTTTGAGTGTATTTGGTAGAGTGTAGTTCAAAAACGTGGCCAGAAGAATTACATTGAATTTGCAAATAAAAGAATTGATTATTTTAAAATATCGACCAGGCATTAAACAAGCAACCATAGCCGCACAGCTGAATTTAAACCGATCGGTAATTTGCAATACTATTAAGCTGTTCCGACTCAGAAAATCGTTGGTATTCCCTCCTACGACTGGTAGACCGCGAAAAACCACACCTAGGATTGATAGGAAAATTAAAACACTTGCTCTTAAAAATCCATTTACTGCTGATGTCGACATAAAAGCTCAACTTGAAGAAGTAAATATTGGTGTCCGCACTGTTCGAAGACGTTTATGGGAGAGTGATTTACCAGCAAGGAGACACATTATGATCATTTGAACTGGTCAGAACCAAGGTGGAATTCTGTATTATTTTCTGATGAAAGTAAATTTAATTTTTCATAGGAATGCTTTTTATGGGTAAGACGTCCTAAAAACAAGCGATTTGATCCCCATTTGATAAGTTCGGACTGAACATAAAGAAAATTTCAAAAATAGTGCCAAACTATTTGAAACAATCGAAGTCGCCTAGAATTAATTCTATTTCAAAAGAAACAATAAATAGCCTAATTGGTTGTAAGAGTCAAGCAGTTATCAAAAATAAAGTTTTAGCTTCTTTGTATACGATAATTGCTTTGTATATTATGTTTAATGTTTCTCCACTTTTGCTCGGTACTGTAGCTAGTGTCTCACCAGTATTGTCATTTGTATTCTCTTTTCAGATTGAGTAGATTGTAGCAACATTTAGGTACAATATAAGCGGATCTAGAGTTGCTTTGTATCTACTCGTCCACAGAAAATGATCAAACATAAAGGAAAAAATATGGGTAACGTTATTTTTAATTAATAATTAATTTTTCGATCCCCTACATGATATAAGTACGTTGAAAATGAAAGCGGGGCAGAAGGAGTATAAATTGAAAATGTAAATGCGATTACTTTATTTGATCTGCGAAAAAATGTAAAGGTATCCAATATTCACACCTGTCCGTTACTTATTCGTCGTACATAAAGACTTTCAGAATTGGATTTGCTATAAACACATTGATCTGTACTGTGTTATAGGCTATATAAAAATCTCAGGCTACTAAGGTTACTGAGACTGAATCAACTCTTCGAACAAGCATTTCAATCTTTGCCAGCAGCGTTCAAACACAAATTATTAGATTTGCTAATGTAAATATCCAAATAATTATTTGATAATTGTAACTGTAAACTTCAATTATTTCTAAAATGGATAAAATTTTCTGTATGTCTCAGGAATGGTAATTTGCAAGCAATAACGCTTTAATTAATTAGCAATTCAAATTCGATGAATTATTTACTCGTATTTATTAATATGTACGATGTTCGCACTGATTTTGAATTTGTCTGGGACGCAGATTATAATTCTTGCTGTTTACAGTTTGCCAATAAGCTGTGTTTTAAAATTACTTTCGCATAAAGCAAGTCAGACGTATATTTTTTCATTTTTGATTCGCGTCGTAAATCTTTTTTTTATGCGTTTCTTAAACTTCTACTCATTTTAGTGCATACAGGAGGCCTACAAATTGAGATGCGTGAATCCCTATCATAACATTGCTTCTATTGGAAGCTTGAGAGGAAAAATCTGTCTCTGACTCTGCCCGTTCGCTATCATCACAACTCTTGCAGACCAAACGATCGAAGGAATTATTAACATGTTTTCTGGTAAATTTAAGCAAAATGATTGACAGGCCACTCTAAAGGTCTTCGTATGAACTTTAGATGGTGCATATAATCCTGTACGTGAAACAGATTAGATGAACAATATTGGCGTACACAGAAGGAGGTGCTGAAAACCCGGTCGGTCCTTAAAATTTGCATATTTAACATGGTTTTGTACAAAATATTGCAGATACACAGAATGTTGTTTCTTGCGGAAGGACGGTCCCCCCGGGAAATTACAAAAAAGATAAAAATTGTGACGAGACGACTCATGGTTGCTTCACCACAAGAACGTGCCAGTTCGCCCAGCCTTATCAACTTATTTATTTTTATGTATTTCTTTATTTCTATTTATTTAGTTATTTATTTATTTATTTTCATACAAGAACTACATAAAATGAACAAAAAAATTAGTTATTATAATTGTTCCTGAAGTTTGACGAGATTTTACTGATACAATCGAAATTAGAGTCAGAACGGTCTGCAATGGAATAGGTATTATTGCATATACTAAGTGACGTATAAATCCGAACACCCAGTTTAAATGCTTTTATTTTAATAAAATTTTGTATAAGTACTTAATGAAGCATAATAAGTAAATAATAAAAATTTCAAAATGATTGCACTGCTTTAAAGCCCTTTGACCTTTAATAATGTGTGGATGCACCCTGATGTGCTACGCATTCTCCAACGCGCCTAGGCATGCTTCTGATCAGGTGGTCAATGTCCTCCTGTGGTACCTCATTCCAGGCAACTACCAACTCCTCTCGAAGTGCTTCTAGAGTCTGAGGAAGACGTTGCAAATTGAGCAATCTCCTACCCATCATATCCCACACGTGCTCAATTGGGGATAAGTCGGGAGATCTTGGTGGCCATGGTAACAATGTGACAATATTATGTTGAAAGAAGTCTATTGTGACTCTTGCAAACCATAACTCCAACAGTGTGATGAACATGTCTTTCAACAAAAAACTGTGGATTCCTCCTTTCACCACGTCGCCTTCTAACCCTAGCACGAGCATCGTGCATGCCTAAACAAAATCGAGACTCGTCACTAAAGACAATACTGTTCCATTCCTGATCCCAGAGTGACCGTTGTCTGCACCACTCAAGGCGATTGTGTTCTCGAGTTAAAGGGAGGACCCAGTGGCCGGTATGAAAACAAGCCAAAACTTCTCATTCGTCGGTAAACACTTCGCATACCAATAGGTCTTCCGTGTTCTGCAAACCATTCATTTACAATGGACCTGGTAGTGGAGAAACGGTCCCTTAAGGCCAATAATCTTAGGCGGCGATCTTCACGGTCTGTTGTTCTACGGCGGCGTCCAGTGCCCCTTGCTCTTTGCGTACGGCCTTCTCGAAGTCATGCCTGACAACACCTAACCACAGTGTCTACACTTCTTTGCACTCTAACTGCAATTGCCCGAAAAGAAAGTCCAGCTTCCCGAAGTCCCTCTATACAGCCCCTATCAAATTCACTAAGTTGACGAAATCGTACAGGTCTCCGTACTCTAGGCATCGTAACCGATCGTAAAGGATGTCAAGAACCAAAATCCGCCAACGTTGATTCTTTACTGCGGCTGAAATATTCATTTTTAGAGCGTTAGTGAATTAAAAAAAAGCAGTATAAAAACCGGAATGTCCAACTGATAAGGCTGAAAATTTTTCACTTGTTATTTACAGTAAGATAAATACATTCACCAACTTTTATTAAAATAAAACCATTTAAACTGGGTGTTAGGATTTATATGTCACTTAGTATATATGTAAGATAACGGCGAATAAAATAATACGTTGCTACGAGAGGTATTTGAGTAAGAAGTTGGAATTTAAACTGGAAATGGACAGAAAATTCCAACCTACAGGAAAATGTTACACCAAAATCTTCAGTCTCTGTTGTTCTATCCAAAATCGCCTTATTTATGGAATGGTCAAAGACAATCGAATTTATTTTACGACTATATGAACAAACTTCGCACTGGTAAATGTTTAAGAAGAAAAAATTATTGTCACACGACTCTGTGATAGTATGTAGATCCTCCTAAACAGTTCTCTAAATTTGTAAATTTGGCGTCGATTTTATGATCATCTGCAAATAGTAGATTGTGACGGAGCCAGTTATGTGCTAAAGTTCAAATATCCCTCCTTCAACCCCCCTACTCTCCGGATCTAAGTCCATGCGATTTTTTGTCATTTCCTAAATTGAAACCCGTGCTAAAACTACGGCGTTTCGAAAATATTGATCACGTTGGAACAAATTTGTCGCACAGAAGAACCTTTCGAAAGTAAGTACGTGAATAGGGGAGGGAAGTAGTTTGAAACGGACAAGAAACAATAATGTGGAAATTAAAAAAATGACGTCAAGTAGGTTGACTCTGCATGTCCCACGCAACGCTGCTATCAGTTCATGAAGGATTTTGTGCAGCACAAGTCAGTGAATCTGAGCTGGCTACAAGCATGCATAACAACAAATAAAAAGGATCAAGTCAGCCGAACAGGTCCACACAATTAGTCCATACCCCGTAATCCCCACCCAGACGCAGACGTGGTTTGGCAATATATGGGGAAATCTATGATGTGTGGAATATGTGCCAATAGGTACGTAAAATTACTACAATTTATAGCGTCAACAAAAAAGTTAGATATACCCTTCCCGACCCCCTACAATCCCACATATTTAACTCCTACAATTTTTTTTCCGAAAATGATGTGGAGCCTCTGATATGTCAAAAAACAATGTTTGTATAGATGGCCCAATGTTTTTTTGTTATGTACATGTCATATAACATTCAAAAATAAAGTTTGATTAAATTTTGAATAGGTTTTGTACGATATTCATATGTGAACTTCAAACGTGGACAAAACAAGATAGTTGCTCTTTTTATTACTTTTTCCAATATGCATCACAGTTTTGCATCGTTTGCAGCCAACCCACACAAATGGATGCAGTGACCGGCACTTATATGTGAAATCTCACTCACTTAGCATTTTGATGACTCTCCGCTGCCCGTTCGTGGTTCTCGGGTGTCTTTTTTTGGACTGGTGCAAGTTTCGGGACCCTCTGTGGGCGGTGATCTGCTGGGTCTTCCTTAGCTGGACTGCGATGAGCACGTAGAGAATTGTGATCAGGGTCATCGGGCCCACGAAGATTATAAAAGTGGAGATTTCGAATGCGTGACCTGCGAAAAGAACGAAAACATGTATGTTTTATTATCCAAACAAGAGATGTTGATAGGAGTACTGGAATGGATCAGCTAACAGGGAGTTTGTGCACTGCTTCAAGCGGGTCACAAGTACATTGCAGTCACAAACCTAAAACAGTACCTTCACCACTTTCTGTAATGTTAAGTTGTGATTATAAGAACCTCACGATGTAAAAAAATTAATGTTAGTTTGCTTTATGAACTATGGTCCAAAAATGTTTCTTTACGAAATCTCGGGGTTTGAAGTTTTATGAAAAAAATGGAAATTAAGAAATATTTTCTGAACCGCTTCAGATCTTTCACTGATATTTAGTTCATAATGAAAGTTAATAAAGCTGCATATTTTTCAAATTATCTGAATACGTCCTTTCTTAGTCCGTACATTGCGCCGCTACGCTTGGGTTGGCAGCACGAAAGAGTAGACAAAATTCGTCCAAAATATACTAAGTGACATATAAATCCAAACACCCAGTTTAAATGGTTTTATTCTAATAAAATTTTGTATAAGTACTTAATGAAGCATAATAAGTAAATGATAAAAATTTCAAAATGATTGCACTGCTTTAAAGCCCTTTGACCTTTAATAATGTGTGGATGCACCCTGATGTGCTACGCATTCTCCAACGCGCCTAGGCATGCTTCTGATCAGGTGGTCAATGTCCTCCTGTGGTATCTCATTCCAGGCAACCACCAACTCCTCTCGAAGTGCTTCTAGAGTCTGAGGAGGACGTTGCAAATTGAGCAATCTCCTACCCATCATATCCCACACGTGCTCAATTGGGGATAAGTCGGGAGATCTTGGTGGCCAAGGTAACAATGTGATATCATTATATTGAAAGAAATCTATTGTGACTCTTGCAGAATGTGGTCGGGCATTATCTTGTTGGAAAGTTGGATCTGCCAGGGTGTCAAGATAGGGTAAAAGATGGGGTTCTAGAACTTCGTGGATATAACGCTGCGCGTTCATGTTACCTCTGATGAAGATTAAAGGTCACCTGGAACCATAAGCTATAGCACCCCAAACCATAACTCCAACAGTGTGATGAACATGTCTTTCAACAAGAAACTGTGGATTCCTCCTTTCACCACGTCGCCTTCTAACCCTGGCACGGCCATCGTGCATGCCTAAACAAAATCAAGACTCGTCACTAAAGACAATACTGTTCCATTCCTGATCCCAGAGTGACCGTTGTCTGCACCACTCAAGGCGATTACGTCGGTGTTCTCGAGTTAAAGGGAAGACCCAGTGTGGCCGGTATGAAAACAAGCCAAAACTTCTCATTCGTCGGTAAACACTTCGCATGCCAATAGGTCTTCCGTGTTCTGCAAACCATTCATTTGCAATGAACCTGGTAGTGGAGAAACGGTCCCTTAAGGCCAATAATCTTAGGCGGCGATCTTCACGGTCTGTTGTTCTACGGCGGCGTCCAGTGCCCCTTGCTCTTTGCGTACGGCCTTCTCGAAGCCATGCCTGACAACACCTAACCACAGTGCCTACACCTCTTTGCACTCTAACTGCAATTGCCCGAAAAGAAAGTCCAGCTTCCCGAAGTCCCACTATACGGCCCCTATCAAACTCACTAAGTTGACGAAATCGTACAGGTCTCCGTACTCTAGGCATCGTAAAGGATGTCAAGAACCAAAATCCGTCAACGTTGATTCTTTACTGCGGCTGAAATATTCATTTTTAGAGCGTTAGTGAATTAAAAAAAGCAATATAAAAACCGGAATGTCCAACTGATAAGGCTGAAAATTTTTTCACTTGTTATTTACAGTAAGATAAATACATTCACCAACTTTTATTAAAATAAAACCATTTAAACTGGGTGTTCGGATTTATATGTCACTTAGTATATGATTTGTAGAGGTTTGCGCGCTTCGAAATTGGCGCTTAATTTTTTGATATTCTTGTTAAGGTGTGCTAAAAACAAAATCCCACAGGGTGCTATAGAGCCACATTTTCATTTTTTTCACTAGATTCTTTTTAAAAAAATCTCGAAGTTGAACAGAAAAAGTGCGCACTTCAACCCATCATAAAACTTGTGCAAAAACAAAATTTCAAAAAGTGCTCCTATAGCACCCTGGGGAATTATCTTCTGAACATACTGTATGAATTTCATTCAAAAATATTCGAAAATAGAGTGTCAGTTTCGAAGCAGTTGAACCCTTGTAAATGGCTTGAAACTCACTGCGTCGGAGCCGCCTTAAAACCAAAAATATAAAATATTTTTTATTTAGAAATATTAAAAAATTAAAATTTTTTGCGGAATCATTCATATATCGCGTCTGCTATTTTGAAAATTAACATTTTGATAACCAATTCGTAATCAGCGATTCCAAAAACCATAAACAAATACAAGTGGGTATTTTTACTGGCTTATTTGACTAATTAGTTAAATTTTGTCCGCCATTTTGGTTCCGCCATTTTGAAAATCGTAATTCTGATAACAGATTCATGTTCAGCGACCCCAAAAACCTCCGAGAAGAGAATTTGAGATCATTTACGGCACTTTCTGAATTTTGGCCAGCTTTTTGGGATTCTGCCACTACACCAACGGGCTTTGCTCCTCAGAGCTCTCTTCCATGATGCCGCAGCGCGATGTGCCTGCCAGACAGACCCGCCTGACTTTGGCCTGCCATCCTAACCGTGTTGAACTTCGTACATCCAGAACTGGTCGATACAACCGCTCCTTTATCCCGAAGGTGTCGAGATTACGAAATAATCTACAAGAGGAAACTTTTACCAGTTCTACTAATCTTAGGCAGTTTAAAAATCCAATTAACAGAATTTCTTTGGTATCATCATAGCAGCCGCGGTGCCTCGGCATTTAGGCTTCTGGCTGCGCGGCGTCTTCACCACAAAAAAAAACTTACAGCTACACACATATAGCTCTGCTTTCTGTGATAGGTAATTTAATGAAGAAGTGCATAAATCGCGAGCTTCTGACATTGGTCTTGATATCACGAAAGCGTGGCACGCTGCCCTCTTATGCATACTCTCCTCGTATGGCTGCTTTGGTGTAAAAAACACATGGTAAGATGAAGGAATAAACATTAGCTCTCTTTTATCCACCATATTACCCATAGAGGCTAATAGAAAAAATTAAAATTGTCCTAAAATATAAATATAAGTCAACTAGAAATTTCCATTTCAAAAATCATGTTTTGAACTTTATCGCGTTCTAATCTATTTTCTCTTAATGACAAGACCTGCCCGACCGTTCGCATGGCATAGATAATAATAATAATAATAATGATAATAATAATAATTAACGTCTTTTATTTGTAATATTCTTACAGGAGGCGAGATTTAGATTATATATCTATTCTATCATCTAACCCCCTTAACAATACGAGATGTAAAAAAAAAGAAAAAAAAAGATGGCGCTATAAGACAAACGGGTTTTTATAGTCGCAAGTAATCTGGGATAGAATCCTGCTGTCATCTGCCACCGCTAGAGTTCGGTTCACTGAAAAAATCCCGATATATTCGACACCAAATAACGCCACGTTGGATTAGGGAAAAGGAAATGGACTGTCCCGAAAAAAGCCAACGTTATCAAGAACGTGCAGAATCGTGTCTCGTAGTTTCCACTTCCGAAAAAAATATCCGAACACATTTATTTTCCGAAAGCTAACTCCGAGAGGTGTCCATGAAAGATGAGTTCATAAATATGTATGAATGTATTATATATTTTTAGTCGGCCAACTAGGAAAGGTCAGCGGCAAGTTGAGAGAAACCCGTTAGTAAATATTGATGACAAATCATACGGGATTTTAGTTTTTTGATCGATGCGGTGAATATCTCGAGGTAAAGCTTTTTCGAATATTGATGTTTGATTCAGGTACCAGGAATGCACAAATTTTGTTGAAAACCAAAAAATATATAACAAAACATAGAGCTATAGGCCTGTAGTTGTAACGTTCGGTCTCAGATCCTTTTTTTTATGGGACGGACATTAGCAAGTTTCCAGTTTTATCGTTTCACAAGATATTGGAAGAGATGTAAAAGAATTGGACAGGGCTCCGCTGTACATGGCGTCAGGAATCAAGTCCAGAACAGAAGCTTTGTTGACACAGAACAAAATTCACATACATAGCTCAGAATATACAGGGTGTCCGCAAAGTTGGGGTTTCCTTTACACGACGTGCAGATCTTGAAAACATAAGCAATTTTTCTTAGTACCATATACACCAATGTCTTAAGGGTACCGAGATAAAGGGCTCTGCAACATCAAGAATATCTGAATACCGTCCTGTAGCCGCGACATCACCGACTGGTACAAGGTCACTGGCTCAACCCGACGACAGAACTGGGTCGGGGCCAGTGTGTCAGGTCAGTATGCAACCTTCAACCGACGGCTACGGTCACGCGTGTAGAGGTAATCGGGTAAACGAGAATCCCTCAACAAGCACTAGAGACGTGGCTAGAGAAGTGCAAGTATCAAAAACTAAAGTGTGGCAAACGCTGCGTAAAGAAGGCTGTATCTGTACATGCCCTCCAACCTGACGATTTTCCAGCAAGAGTGCGGTTTTGTGAGTGGTTGTTGCATCAACATGACAATAATCCGGACTTTTTGAAGTCCATATTGATGACAGACGAATCTACGTTCACGCGTAATGGGGTGAATAACTTTCCCAACACTCATGTTTGGTCAGTAGAAAATCCGCACGCTGTCCGTCGGGCACATTTTCAACAAACATTTTCGGTGAATGTTTGGGCTGGCATGGTGAACGGTATGCTCATTGGACCATTTATTCTCTCAAATCGATTGGACGTGATGCAATACCTAGACTTTTTACGCAACATTTTGCCTTCCTTGTTTGCCTGCGTCTGCTCGGTAGCGCATCAGCTGATCTCATTTTCTGTTGGAGCGGTATGATTTCGGGCAGAGACGTACTTAGCCCTTCTCGTCAACTGGAGAGTGAGTACTTTTTCCTTTATTTTTTTTACTTGGTCGCCCTCGTTTCACAACACATTACCTTTGTTATTTCAAGGGTAGTTGTTTCTGAAAAGGAAAACCCCAATCTTGCGGACACCCTGTATAATTCAGCTGCTGGCTGTTTGATGTCTTCGTCTTAGAAACGTTAAGTTATACTTAATTACTTCGTAACCGGACAGCGGTAATCAGATTTTCAGTCCAAGAGAAGGCTGCTACCAGCTTAACCGCGGATATCGATCGGCCACTAAGGATGCCTGCATGCAAAGTGCTATTATCTACGAAACTGAGGATAAAAATTGGCAGATTTAACGAGATTGGCTAGTAATACTATTTACATTAAAAGCCAAGCTTTATAAAAACACGGCCACAGTTTTTCCAGTTGATATGCCACAAAGGGAAGATTGTTCGTATTGAAGAACTACGTGCTCATGAAATCAAGAATATTATGGGGAAATATTTTGAACAGTAGAGCTCATCAGATGAAGATCATTATTACTGAAAACGAGGGAGTAGAACCGCTGAGAGAAAGTGAGTGTGGTCCGCTTCCCTGAGGAAGGATCCCAAATTCTGATAGCTATTGACAATTCAAGAGTCTAAGTGCCACAAACAACCGATATAATCAAATAAAACTATCTCAGTAAGAAGTAAGCGATATTTTAGCTCTAAATACAGGGTGGCGCATCGAAAACGAAACAGACGCATTTACTGGCAGCTCAGTTTTTTTTTAAAAACGTTCAGACCCGTCGACTTTGTTTTCGAGGGGGACACAAATCACGTTAGCGCGTGCAGCCCCCTAAGTGGGCGTGACACCACCCCCAAAATCTTAAATGGAATGCGTAATGTGATGGCGCACCATCCTGCTGGAACATCAACCTATTCGCAATGTACCGCCGATCATTCTGATTTTCAATTATGGCAGTTAATGCAGGATCTATGGCATCTTCCAGTAATTCCAAATACATTTCACCGGTCAAATTTCCAGGTAAGAAAAAAGGACCAACTAAATGATCGCCAAACATTTAATTTTTGTGGCTGCTTTTTATGAACCTCATGATAAATTCTGGGATTAGAATCGGACCAATATCGGCAGTTATGACGATTTACTACGCCATTTAAGAAAAATCAACATTCGTCGGGAAAGCAAGTATTGAATAGAAAATGTTCATCGTTTATAACTCGTTCACACATATCTTCACAAAAGTGTAATCGCTGATCAAAATCGTCTTCATTAAGTTCTTGTACCAGGTGAATTTTATACGGATGAAAACTATGGGCCTTTAGAATCCGTTGGACAGTACGTCGACTAACACCACACACAGTCCCCAATTTTCGGGTACCTAACGTAGGATCTACATAAACTTGCCCTAAAACCCCCACTTCTATTGCTTCGTTCCTTATGGCATTTTCAATGTTGCGTTTTTTATTGGTGACTGATCCAGTTTCCCGAAACTTAGCTACAAGTTCTAGAACATATTTTCGATGCACGTTACTGTTCTCATGCCGCTCATTAAATATTTCTGCTGTTCTATTAGCGCACTGATTATTTCCGAAAACTATTTCGATAATCTCAACTCTTTCTGCTGTGGAATATACCATGGTTAATTTATGTAATAAAGCGTTACAAGTTATTTTTGCAACAAAGCTTGGTCAAATCAATAGCAAACTATGTACTAAATTCCTATTTAAAATAAGTACGAGATATTTCCTTATCTTTCTTCAAGAAATAACTTTTTTGCCACAAAAAAACGCTCCAATAGCTATTTTCAACAACAAAATGATAAACAAACCATGGGCGTAGTGAAGAAAAGCATTTACTTATTAAGTAAATTCTTTTAGTCAAATTTCTTATGAAAGTAGTACAAACTGATCTGATGTACCTATTAAAGTCTACCTTAAGCTTTAAATCAATAAATCTTCAAAACTACTGAACTGAAGCTCATGTATTTTACATCATTATAAAGGGAATTGAAAGACCTTTAAAATAAGGTAACTCTCCTCCCCCCCCTTCCATTTAAGATTTTAGGGTTGGTGTCACCCCCGCCCAGGGGGCTGCACGTGCTAACGTGATTTTTTACCAAACTTGTGTCCCCCTCGAAAACGAAATCGACGGGTCTGAGCGTTTTTCAAAAAAAAAACTGAGCTGCCAGTAAATGCGTCTGCTTCGTTTTCGATGCGCCACCCTGTATATTTTTTTAAGACAAATCAGGTTGCTTTAAGCAAGACCCTTGAGGAAACACAGTTTAAACGTATTAACTTCGACTTGAAACAAATGTTTAAAAACAGAAAATCGTAAAAAGATCGAAGTACCTCATCATGCAATTCTGAAAATGGTCTATGTGCCTTATTAGCCTTTTCTGTAGGTTTTATATCACCTCGTTAAGTTTTGTACTCTGAACCACTTGTCCTCAGACGTTTTTGTTCCTTTTTCACACTTTCTAAACCTTTTGCCGTTCTCTTTCGTTCCGTTTTCAGTTAAAATATGGCAATGACGCAACAGAACAACACTGTCACGAAACCAAATCTGCTTCGTAACTTTGGCACATAGACCCTTTATGAATAAAATATATGTCGGCACTTACAGGGACCGCCATCTATTTCTTCAGCGAATAAAAACCTACATGAATCGCTGGTACTTACTACCTTTGCAATATACTAATTCGCCATGGCACATAGACGCTTTTCACATGAATAATTGAAAATATTTGTTTTTGGCACTTGGATCCCTAAGAACTTACACTCTTCAATTGTCAAACAACACTTTGTCGAAAGTGGATGCATTGTCAATACATCCATTTTCGGCAAAGTACTATACTCCTGGATTCTTCCTTTCATTAGAATTTCCGAACTTTTTCTCCCGAGAATGACTAACAGAACCACGCCCTTTTTCATTCAGCTACTATATTCCCTCGTTCCAAGGATTAACCTTCAGTAAAGTACGATGCGCATAGATAACGAGCCTTGCATTTCATTCTCCTATAAATGTTCTTGCCATTTACGTAACGGCAACACCACAATTTTGCGGTCACATTATGTCAAAGCTATTGTGTTTGGAAACGAAAATTTTCCGGCTGTCAGTTTGATTTGCAGTCAGGCTTAGGCAAATGCAGACACTAACATGTCATATTTGTTGATGGAAATAAATGCAGCTTGCATTGTACACCTGCAGTTCAAGTATACAAGGTATATCAGAAAAACGTAGCGACAAAGACGATTTATTATTATTATTTCTATGGTCGAAGGTACATCCAAAAATAGCAAAAAAAGTTCATACAAACAGAGGTCCTAGCATTACCAAAATACAGGGTGGAACATAGTATGTCAATTTTTCACATTTATACATCATAGATCTCGCTATACAGAGTGCGAAAGGTTGGGCAATGTCGGAACTGGAGATTTTGGACTGTAGTATCTCCAGCTTCGATATTTTCCAGCCTTTCGCAAATCCTGTATAAACTGTTCTCATCTTGTGGTAAGTGAAAATGGTAGGAAGAGTGATTTTGATGTCAAACATATCGAAATGAGTCCACTTGGTGAGAGTAACATTTTTTCTATGACACCATTGTATATACCGGTAGAATCGAAAATTAAAAGTGGCTCACCGGTGCGGTAACTGGTGAATTACATAATAATCATCGAAACTGCTCGAGATGCTTCTAGGACTGGTTTGCATGTGCTTGATAGCTCGATAACACTCCTCCGCATTGCCGCTTATCGCTTCTAGGAGTATTCAATTTGAAGTCAACTTGTTACCTAATCGAGCTATTTTGGTTTATATTGTGTACCATTTCTACAATCTTTGAAAAGTCTTCAAATTTGGAACCTTCCTTTACAGTGCACACGGATTTTGGAAAATTAAGTGGTTTTTTTTCTAGTATCATATCCAACAAAGTACCGAGATGTTTACTTCGCAAAATAAATCAAACATAAACAAAACCTAATTCGGTCCTACACCTCGATCAGATCAAACGTGAATCCCTGCGATGCGCATGAGTAATCAATCCAGGCACTGGCCGCATCAGTAAACAAAACCTTTACACATCGGCTCTAAAACACAAGAAGAAACGGCATGCTCATACAACAATATCGGAACTCTCCATATTATTTTAATTTATGGCGAGTGACTTCGAAATGCTACCGAGGCTTCGCGAGTGCATGCAGATCATTTTCCAGTATCTCCCGTGATATCTATTTTTCTTTGAGACGAAATTAAATCTTTAGTGTACTTTTCGTTTACACCTTTTCTTAATTCTTTCTTTCACCACACATCAGTTTTGTTATTAGAAACGTAGTTGTTTCTGAAAAGGTAAGTCCCAACTTTCAGGAAACCGAAAGTGTGTATAGGTGTGAATGCATGTGTGTTCCGTTTTCACCCCAAAACGGCTGAACCAAGTTTGATGAATTTTGGGATAAGCAGACAGAATGGAGTTTTCGGTCGAATACCTAAAAACGGAGTTTCTGACATGAGCGAAAAATAATTTATTCATGTATCATTTTAACAATCTAATCATACGAAATCGTAAGAACCAGCTAGTTATTTCTCTATAATATAAGACCACCTCACCTGATAAAGGCCTAGCCAAAGTGCATTCCGACCTCTCCTTCCCGTTCCTAAATTCCTCAAGCACACCAAACTGGATTGCTTGCGGAATCGCCAGGATCATTGCAGTGATCCAGATGCCAGCTATATACCTGACGGCTCTGGATAGCTTTGACATCGTGTGTGAAAGAAAGGGGTGACAAATTGCCAAGTACCTGGAAAAAAATGTATATGTCATTGATTGTTTGAAAAGATATATATGTTGTATCCACATCGTGAAATTGACCACTTCATGAAATGCTACAATTGCAGAGCTACCAATCCTCCTGAGTACTCCATATATCCAAAACAATATTTAACTTTAATTAAAATACATAGTGGAAAGAAGGCTTACTGAGATGCTTAAAGAAATGTAAAACAATCTCGTCTTATTAAAAACGGATATCAATAATTAGATTTTGAAAATCTGTTTAAACAATGACGATTTAACCAACTTTGGATATTATTACAAACTAACCTGACCTATCCACATGACGTAGATGTGTCATTGATATTATCTTGTTGAATGAATTATTGTGCTTTTAGACAACTCAAGGTATAAGTATCTTTCTTTATCAATATGGAGTGTATACTTATTTCAAAGACGTGTAATTATAATGAATAACTGGACAAACAACGAAGCAAAATTAGGTTAATAGTACGATAGTTTTCTAAGAGCAAGGTACCATGAGATGTATCTAATTACCGTAACGCCCTCGTAACTAGGACTTTGAGCGGCGATGGAACGGCCTTGCAGTGTCGAAGCTTAGACAACCAGTTACGCGACTGCGTGAGCGCTTGCGGTGATAACTAGAAGTTCTGGCCATGGGTCGAGATGTACCTATTACCATCGCGATTCGGCCGGGAAGACGCTGGAATATTCCTCGACTCGTCGATAGAGAAATAAATATAGGTAGAGGTGGCGGATGGAAGACAAACATAGTCATAGTCGAGTCAGTGGACAGCGACCGCGAAATTGAGACGGAACAATAGTCCAGTCGCCATAGTTGTAAGCGTTTTAAATTAATGTTAGAGTATTAAATTGGACTTTGAACAGTGTTTTTATTACATTGTATTGAGATTTGTCAATGTTTCTGGACACATGGAGTAGCCCACAAATATTAGTCTTGATTTTAATTTTGAAATCAAGTTTACATCAGATTCTGTTCTGTGACCAACGATTGCGGGACTTTAGTGTGTACAGTAGGAGAAAAAGTCACGATAAGTATATATATAAAAACCAATAAACTGTCCATTTAAGGACCATAGGTTAACATTCTCCAAATATTTATGTAATAGTCAGCAGCTTTGTATTAGTATTTTTTTTATTTCTGCTATATCTGCTACAAGTAAACGATGTTGTTGCTGGATCCTTATCTACTATGTTGGAGATACTGAGAGAAGATGGTTCCAGATGTATTGCACATTTCAGTGCTGCCGAAGTGCGAAGCCTTAAATTCCTGGCTCCGTACAGATATCGTTTTATTACATGAACTTGGATCGATACATATACTTTGTAGGAAACTGTGTGGCCACATCGTTTAAAATAAAGAGGAGAGGAAGCATTTTACGAAGCTTATACAGAGTGTTTGAGGTTATTTTTATTTTATAATACGTCATCTCCACCTGATATATTTCATTTGCCTCTACCTTCAATTATCTCTGTTTATTAGAATAGGATCACGTATTCACTGACAGTTCCTACTAACAATACTTAGATAGTGTGTTCGTACTATATAGGATTGAAGATTCTTATAGCGATTTTTTTCTACGCCACTGTTATAGTGTAAGGCACGGAAGATTTTATACGTATTGCTTATGTCAGTACTATACAGGGTGGCGTATTGAAAACGAAACAGACGCATTTACTGACAGATCAGTTTTTCTTTGGAAAAACGCTCAGACCAGTCGATTTTGTTTTCGAGTGGGACAGAAGTTTGGCAAAAAATCACGTTAGCACGTGCAGCCCCTAAGCGGGGGTAATACCACCCCCAAAATCTTAAATGGAGAGGGAGTCGAGTGATACCTTATTTTAAAGGTCTTTCAATTCCCTTTATAATGATGTAAAATTAATGTACTTCAGTTCAGTAGTTTTTAAGTTTTATTGATTTAAAGCTTAAATAAAACTAATACATCATCATTAGTGAAGATCAATACATTTGGCAGCAAAGTAATTTAAAAATGAAGAATGAACTGACCCGTTAGGCAAGTAAATGTTGAAAATGGCCACCATGACTCTTCATGCAATAATAAAGATTTTGCTCAAAACGTTGCCGCACATTTTGCAATATTTGACGAGTAATTTGAAGGCACTCATCCTCAATTCTTTGTCGCAGGTCTTCTAATGATGTTGGCTGAGTAGCATAGATTTTGCCTTTTAAATGATCCCACATAAAGAAATCCAAAGGTGATAAATCTGGCGATCTTGGGGGCCATTCAATTCAATAAAAATATGTATATATATATATATATTTGTTTCCCACATCAAGAATATAACGTCAAGTGCTTATAAAAGCTTAGATTTTGTAATTAAATCTAAAAATTTTACTCAGTCTGGTACGATGCTTACTTTATTTTCCGTTTTTGTAACATCCAAATCAGAATACGTTGTAGAGAATCCACATTACGAAGTGGATTCAAACAATTTGGAAAAAGTTTAAAGGCGATTTGTGAAATTCCCGTGGTTCAAATTGGATGGCTTTCGTAATGACGTTTTTCTGAGCAGCATCAATCTGTCGAATCTGTCGAAGCGCGGAGAATTTGCAGGCTTACGGTCTCTTTCCAAAGTACTCAATAAGATTGGATGGTCTTTTATTCCACCAAAATCATTTTCAGAGTTCCTTTGCGAACCCGGATTACTAACTCTCTTCTCTGCCTTATTATTTTCATCACCTGTGTATGTAATTCGTCGAAATTATGACCAAATATCAGATATAATAGACATCTTCTTTTGTAGTGTTAGAGATTTAAGGAGTCAAGCTTTGACAGTGAGGGGAACTCGTTCTCATAAGCATTTTTAGTTTAAGCTTAACGGTTTTAATAGGTTACTGATTAATGTTTGGTAAATAATGTGCATATGTTACTTTGTGAATAACCGGTTCTATTTTGTATGTTCTTGTTTCGCCTATTGCCTGCTCTGTTTTGAAAACAGACATATTCATATTTTTAGAAGAATCCGAAAATTGCTGATATTTCAGATACACTACTTTAAATTGGAAAATCGTTCATTTCACGTCCCATGCCTCTGGTGGGGATATTTTGTGATCGCGAAAAATTTTGAAAATGAGAAGTTATGCGTTTTGGGTGTTATATCTAACATCGCCCATTTGCAGTGTCAAAATTATATAGCGAATCAAATACTTGTATATCATCAAACGGCGCCAATTTTAACGTTCTAAGCTCGCTTAGACTTAGGCCTCAGGTCTAAGGCCCGTATCGTCAGTCGTCCCTACAATGGTAGGGCGTGTTTATGGCCTCCTTGATTGTCATACTCCTTTCTCTCCTTCAAAAATTTCTAGATTACACTTGTCCCGTGTTAGCGTCAGCGCTCTCCTATTGTAAAGATATGTTTTCTTTTTAAATTGTAGGAAATTTCAGGCTGATAAAACATGATATAACTCAAAAGCAAGCACAATTTGATGCAAATAGATGTTTGTGACATAACCTCAAAATAGAGCGCTGACACGGAGAAGTAGAAAACTATGACGATCAAGGAGGCCATAAAGGCGCCCTACAATTGTAGGGACGACTGACGATACGGGCCTTAGATTGTGTTTTACTACATTATCCTAGAGATAGGCAAACTGCTTCCTGTATGAATATGTCGCGTGGAAAACCACCGAAAAACATTTGCTTGAATCACTAACAGCCACAACAAATTAACAAGGTCTGTAGTGGTAACGTGTGTAGAGGAATGCAATATTTATAGCATTTTAACGAATGGAATATTCGCAACGAATTTTATTAAATTCGAGGCAGTAGCTAATTACTAAAACTATAACCAGCGGTAAGAATTAAATAAATCATGAGATCGGTTGACAGAAAATAATCAGACAGTTATTTTTAGTGCAGATCTGTCACGGCCAAGAAACTAGTTTTGGGATATTCAACAGGTTTCAGCTTTGAGTAGATACTTTTTCTTATTATTAATTTATACATCTTAGAGCAAAAACTCAAAATAAATAGATGTCAGCAGGAAAGTAAACGCATATTAAAACAAGAAAGATTGATATTCAAATCAAGTTGGGTACTTTATTCTGAAGGTTCATTTCTACCATTTATGTATGAAAAATAATATCGCTCAAATGTTCACCACGACTGGATTTACAGACGTTCACGCGATGGTCGAAATTTTCAATGACATTTTGCAACATGGTCGGTTCTATGGCATTTATCTCGGCAATGATGTTGTTTTTGAGTTCTTGGAAGGTGGCTGGTTTGTTGACGTAGACTTTGCTTTTCAAATATCCCCATAAAAAGAAGTCCAAGGGAGTCAAATCGCACGATCTTGGTGGCCATGGCACATTTCCTCTGCGCGAAATCACGCGATCACCGAAGAAGGACTGCAATCGATGGATATTGACGTTGGTTGTGTGGCATGTTGCACCGTCTTGTTGGAAATAAACATCGTCCATACCCATTCCTTCAAGTTGCGGCAAAAAATAGTCCTCTGTCATCACGTGATATCGCTCAGAATTGACGGTAACGGCGTCCCCGGCCGCAAAGTTCTTTTTGGAGGCTGAGTATTTTGTACATTTGCTTGTATATTACTTGCTAAATATTCGCCTGTCAGTAAAGAATTGTACAAATTCATCGCATATCTGTTGAGTATTTTTTAATACTGTTCCCGATGTTGTATTTAACTCAGTGACACACTCTTTAAATTTTGTTTTCCCAGTAATCTCATCAATAGTTGTCCAAAGCCGCTTAGGATCATTTAAGTTATTATTCAATTTATTTAGGTAATGTTTTCGTTTGGTTTGCCTTGCAAGCTCTATAAATTTATTTTTATATTTGTTGTAACAGTCGGTATTCTCTGTAGTTGGCGTTAGTTTCATTACATTATATAGTCTTTCTTTTTCTATTGCCGATGTTATTAATCCTTTGGTAATCCAGGCATTTCTGCTTTTCTCTTTGTGATAATTTGGAGGTCTTCAAACTCGAGGCTTAACAACTAGTAAATGAAAGGGCAATTACTAAATATCGGTACTACTGAGCTCTCAGAAACTGCTTTCTGCACAAAAGCTAAGAGATAACATTTTAACAAAGATAAACAAAAACAAAGATAAAACGTTGACATTGTGCTTTAAACATAGTCATTATGTTGTCAAAAAATAAGTTAAATAAATTATATTTTCTCGGTGTAACACTTTGAATGTCACTGAATATATTACCATTTCTTTGCCGAATATATATTCTATTTTAAAGGAATGTTTTCTGTTACACAAGTCATTTTGAAATAATTTCACAACATTACCTCTTATCTCAATTTGCTCCAGTGTAGTTAACAATAATCTATACTGTCAAAGGCGTTTCCTGGGTCAATGAATATGGATAGGCGTGATTTGCTTTCATCTAGTCTACGAATAATTCTTGAAATTAATAATTTTATAGCATCATGCGTGGCAGTAGTTTTTTGAAACCAAATTGATGTTCAGAAAGTATATTATATTTTCCATTATATAAATCTAGCCTACTTTTCAGTATTTTCTAAATATTTTTTTCAAACTTGATGTAATCAAATGGGTGTATAATTTTTCCTGTTGCAGACATTCATAAAAACACAAATTCTTATTGTGGGAACCCGCGAATCGACCCCAACCGTACGACGCTGCTCCCCGCATAGATGAGCCGCGCCTGCGCGCTGCACCGCCTGTACCGGCAACGCCGCATGATCCAGAACATCGAAGAAGACGGCGTTGCCAGACGTACGATAATTATCGCTTCTGTACGATGTACGATACTATATGTAGGATATTAGCTGAATGTACGATTGTTTTGAGAATGAGCTTTTTTACTCACAGATAATAAATCAATGTTACAACTACGTTCAATTAACACCAGCAAGCAGCTGTCGGTGTTGCCACTTGGTAGACAAGTGCGCGTTCCCCACTCTGTATAATGGGTTGCCTAGCATTACGCTGACTATCTCGGCAAACGTCAGCGGGAAAAATTGTCTTCAATCAGTTCAGTTCATATTTCTATTTACCCATGCGCATTATATGAAATAAATGCGACGTCTCCCGTTTTTATGATTTTTGAAACTTAAAAATCAAAAGATCGTTTTCAGTTATTTTCGATATCGGTTTCAATTTAATAACGATAGTATGTCGGATTCCGAATCAAGTTGCTCTGGAAGAGAGAAGCACAACAACAGATGCGATACTCTCAAATACAGAAAACAAAAAAACGAGCGGAATCGTTGAAGAAAGCCAAACATAGACAGCAAGCTTATAGGAGAGAGGGGAAACAAAACAGCCCCCCCCTCGAGACGGAAATGTTCCTTCATCATGAATCCTGAGAGAACCTAAGGCACGGTGTAGGATAATGTACGATAATTTTGACGTGTTTGTACGATAATTCCCTGCGACGAATCTGGCAACGCTGGAAGAAGGACAACTGTCAGCTAGCTCTACGCGAGCTATGTATCACATAAATACGAGATATTGTTTGTTATTCTGTTAATATAGTTGTTAATTGGCATACAATGTTCGTCTGTAACCCCAATCCCCCGTCCCACATTATTGTATTGTGATTGGTTGAGTATGAATTTTCCACTTTACTCAAATCCATGTATTCTGAATACCTTCAATCACAAGTTTAAGTAACATTGACCCCGTACTACATATAGCGAAACCATCCAAAGATAGATCAATGTCAGTCCCCTATGAGTCGACACAGACCCAGACCTTCATAAAAACATTACCTTTCCACTGTAAATGCTGTAATGGTGAATACTGATGCATTGGCAGATGTTTCTGCGAAGAAGCCTTGCATTATGCAGAAGGCCTCCCCGAAAATGTACTTGTCGGAGGACCAGAGTCGGTACATTTCGGGAGGTAGAGCAGACAGGAGCAGAAGCAGGTCAGAACAAGCCAGGCTGGAACAGAAAATGAAAATTAGTAGATCATTGAAAATCTTCGAACCGCTCTTACTCCTTGACCCTTTGCGTTTTTATTATGAAATTGTTTATTATATATTATACAGGGTGTCAAAGATAAGGGTTCCATGCAAGAGGGTCCCAACGCCTGTGGGAGATACTGCTGGGAAGAAGATGCGTTCTTTGGGCGTATTTACATGCCTTGAGAAACCTGTACACATTTCATGGCTTACTGAGGTATTTGGGAAAAACTAAAATCTGGCCAAGCCGTTTTTATTTTTTTCTGACTTCATTTTAACCCTTTGACGCCGGATTTAATTTTTTTTCGAATTTGCGAAACTTTTTCTTTTAATATGGGTAAATGTGAACAATATGTTATAACTTTACACATTTTATTTATTTTTTTTAATCCTGAAATGCTTTAGAATATGGTTTCATTATGAAACCACTAGGTAGTAAAAGGAACTAATGATTTTTTTAAACAAAATTTTATTTCAAGTAATAAAAGAAGACAAATCCGATATTTTCCATTTATCGTCTGTGATACGGAAGGAAACAATTTTTATTTGCGTTGAGGCATAATCCAACGTTGCATCTGAAAAAAAAAGTTTTTGCTAAAACTAAAAAGAAGATGAAGCATTACTTTCTTTACCTGGAACAAAACCATTCGGTGTGGTGATGATGTAGAGCTGCAATAAGCACATCTTCTTGAACTTCCATGGATTGGCATGCGTGCACAAGAATCATATCGAATTTCCTGAGGCACATTGGCTTTGAAGGTATTTTGTTGCACTGATGATATCCGCCCTTTCTTTGGAATATTTTCGTCTGCTCCAATAAGTCCCAAGCATACTGCTAGCTTGAAATCCTTCAATGTCATACATTTGCCGGACTTAGTCGTAGTATTTCGGTTCTTGAAAATTATGTATGCATTCACTAGGGATATGTCAAGTAAATACCAAAAAATGCGCAGCCACCACTTTTTAGATTTTCGATCTAATTCATAAATTGACTTCAACATGTCTAGTTTATCTACATAACCCATGTGCTTATTATACTCCAAAACTAAACGAGGACAAGCAATATCCTGCACATCTTCATTCATGTGTTCATCTGAACTCATCTTTTCTAAGTCGGCAAAATAATATTTCTTGTTCTGATCTAAAAAAAAAACACGGCATGCCTACTGGTTTCATAACGTAACCGAAGGTATTTTTGTATAAAAATATGAGCTAAATTTGGTCAAATTCAATCCCCAAATATTTTACAATCATGATCAACATCATATCATATAAATCATATATTTACTTACCTCCCTTTGTTTATCTAACAGCGAAAAATCCCCTATTTATTTTGATCAACCACCTGTTTGCTGCAACAACGCACACTGAACGTTATCATTACGCTAGGAAACCAAATACAACCGACGCAACTGTCAAAGCCTATCAGATGGAGTCTCAAGGGCACGTGACTGTATGAGGTTACGCACCAAGACCATTCGGCGATTAGAAATTAATTCTTATTCAGGTGGTTTCGTCGTGAAACCAGTAGGCGTCAAAGGGTTAAGGAATATCAAAAAATGGATCTTTTTATTCACTACATTATAGTGTTTCTAATCATCACGTTTCGTTTTTGTGAAAAATCACCGTCAACTTTATTTTTTCATATAGTCCAAGAAAAGTACATCCTATATCTGACATATATTTATTTTTCTACGAATTCAATGATAAATCTCATGTTACATTTGTTTTCTTGGTTAAAAGGAAAATGCATTTTTTGCTTAAGTAGGCGCTGCAAACAAATACCTAACTAGATAGCCTAAATAGATTTGGCGAATTTTAATGTTGCCCACATATCTAAGTCAACCACGAAATTTTTACAAGTTTCTCAACGGCATGTTATGATACATTTTAAGTAAGATAGAATATGGAAGTTCCGTGTTTGGTCCTTGTTTGACTCAAGCCGAAGCTTACAAACTTGAGAAAGTGCAGAACAGCTGTATTAGATATTCTGTTGGAATACGAAGAACGGAGCGAGTGTCTCCGTTTATTCAAGAAGTGAATTGGTTGACGATGAGGCAGAGGTGGTTGGTTCACATTTTATGCTTGGTTCATAACATTTTACTGACCAAATCCCCTATATATTTAAATAATAAATTATTCTTGAAAAGTCAGCCTGATACCTCCGTTTCGTTGGTTACACCCTTAACACGCCCTAACATAGAACCACAATATTTACTAAGATTTTCTCTTTTGTTGCACCCTATCGCAAGCTTTAAAGTTTTATCTGTTGCACTTTTTAGGTCAAAAGTAAAAAAAATTGTTTTTGAAAATATGTCATAATTCCTTACATTATGTAGTTTTTTAACTTATTTAATGGTGTATCTGTTATCTGTGACTGTATCAGATTTTTTTTTTTAATTAAAAGAAAAATGCCTATTCTTGTTATAATAGATTTTTCAGTATTTTTATTCAACACTAAATTTTGTATTATAATTTTGTTTAGCCCTGGTTGGTATGGAAAGCAGCTTTTAGCTGACACCCGCCAGGTTAAATAAAGGCTATTATTATTATTATTATTATGTAAATACGTCCCAAAAAACAGGTATTGATATCACCATGCATAGGATCCCTTTCTTGGGCACCCTGTATATCATAGATATATTGAATTCTTAGCAGGTGTGAATACGGGTCAAAACTATAATTCAACGACCTTAGCGGGTCAAACCCCTGATCGAGTTTAACTTTTTTTCCTGGAAATTTCCCATGAAGGCATGAGATGCTGTGAAATTTTTAGGTCATAGCTGGAACAGACGCGCTCAAAGATTCACGGTTAGGCAAAAATGCGAATTTTAGATTGGTAATTTTTTTCATTTGACCCCATAGCATACAGGAAAGTAATAGGACTGAGTCGATTTAAACAAATTTATTGAGCCAGTCGTTACGATTCTTTAAAAACTTTCAAAATAGGCTCCTTCTGCGTCGATGCAGCGCTGCCAGCGCGATTTTCAAGCATTGAAGGCGTCACGGAAGGCATTCTCCGGAATAGCCTTGAGAGCCGCGGCGAGGAAACAAAAAAAAGTCCGGGGGGCACATCTGTGCTGTAGGGCGGCTGCGGAAGCGTTGGGATGCCGGCCTTGGTCAGGTAGCTGTTCACAAGAAAGGCGGTGTGAGCCGTCTACCGAATCCAGTCGGTGCGCGCATGCTCCGAAGTACAGTCATGGCGGAAGAAAATGAGTCCTATTACTTTCCGGACAAACCCTGTATGACCGAACTAAGATTGTCCGAGAAACCCAAAAATGACATACATTATGATATGATGATTCGTTCAGCAGATATATTACTTGTTTATAGGGTTGTTTCAAATTCCTACCTCACCATTGGGATCTCCGAAATTCAATTTGTTTAGGAGAGAGACGGAAAAAACGAGTTTTAATTTTTTCCCGACTTTATATGCAGCGAGGTTTCAAAATAAATTGCACATTAACATTGCCACCTTTTCTCGTCTACAAGATGGCATAATTATAATTTCAATATGACGTTTTGCCTCTTGTCCTCCAGCATCAACTTTATTTTTTCTCAAAGATGTCGTATTTAATTTATGCCCAAGTGAATAGTTTTCAGTCCTAAATTCAGTGATGTATGTCCTTGTTTGGCCATAATTTGTTGTTCGAACGAGAAATTATAAGGTAATAAAAAGGTATGATCAATTTATGAATTTATACTACAGTTTTAAAGACCTCACATTGTAGTAACAGAGTTTGGAAGACCGAAAAGAAAGGAAATAAGCCGAACAGTGAACATAGAACAGCCAAGCTCTGCCTAAAAAATAACGGACAACGTTTTAAACATCTGCTATGATTTACTGTTGCTTATTTATGATTACGAGTATTGTTATTACCATCAATAAAATTTTCATCTTGCGTTCAGGTTTAACCATACCTTGTTATTTCCTTATAATTTTCACTAGCGCAAATAGTATCGAAGCATTCAAAACAAAACACTGTAAACATATGAAGTGATAGCTTGTCACTGAAATGTTATCAGTTTATTAAATATTATGGAATTACATAAAATTGAGCCAACATTTTCTAAAAATGTTTAATCTCTGAGTAAGCTCCAATTCTTTTCAGCGTAGCTGCAGGTTTCTCCATATCTGTTTCAATTTTTGTAATTCATATGTGATTATACTAACTTAACATCACTTACCGGGTGTTTATAATGGGTGTTTTATTGCTAGTATCTTTTTGGCAACACTGTTTTTGAACAGATGACGCGTGAATCGTGTCATTGTCAAACTTGTTCATTTTGGTCTATAATTTAACCATGAATCGACTTACGAACGAACAACGCTTGCAAGTTATTGAATTTTACTATCAAAATTCATGCTCGGTTAAGAGAGTGCATCGAGCACTGCTTCCAATTTATGGGCAATTTGGTCGGCCTACTGAAGGAAGCTTGTGACTAAATTTCGAACCCAGTTTACATTATTCGACATTAAACCACCAACACGCAGACGTGGAGTGAGGACTGAAGAAAATATTGCGGCTGTATCCGCCAGTGTTAGTGATGACCGTGAAATGTCGATTCGCCGCCGTTCGCAGCAATTGGGCCTCTGTTACTCCACTACGAGGAAAATTTTGCTACAGGATTTGGGTGTAAAACCTTATAAGATACAGCTGGTGCAATAACTGAAGCCACACGACCTCCCACAACGTTTCCAATTTGGTGAATGGGCGCTGGCAAAGTTGGAGGAAGATCCACATTTTTATCGAAAAATTGTGTTCAGCGACGAAGCTCATTTCTGGTTGAATCGGCACGTTAACAAGCAAAATTGCCGTATCTGGAGTGAAGACCAGCCAGAAGCATTGCAAGAGCTACCAATGCATCCCGAAAAAATCACTGTTTGGTGTGGATTATGGGCTGGTGGCATCATCGGGCCATACTTCTTCAAAGACGACAATGGCCGGAACGTAACTGTGAATGGCGAGCGCTACCGTGCGATGATAACAAACTTTTCTTTGCCGAAAATGGAAGAGCTGGACTTGGCTGACATGTGGTTTCAACAAGACGGTGCCACATGCCACCCCGCACACGAAACAATGGCCCTATTGAGAGGCGAGTTCGGTGAACAGTTTATCTCACGTTTGAAGCCCGTTAATTGGGGATCCCATGATTTAACGCCGTTGGACTATTTCTTGTGGGGCCATGTTAAGGCTAATGTCTACGGGGATAAACCAGCAACGATTGACGCACTGGAAGCCAATATTGAAGCATTTATTCGTGAGATACCGGCCGAGATGTTGGAGAGAGTGTGCCAAAATTGGACCTTGCGCATGGGCCATCTAAAACGGAGCCGCGGCCAACATTTACATGAAATAATCTTTAAACATTAAATTATATCGACCGTTCTATCGACTCAAATAAAGATTTAATCGTTTTTTTATTTTTTTGTGATTTTTTTTGCAAATCAAATCCTATACCTCTTAAATAATCACCCGTTAGTTTATCCTATAAAACACTTGCAAACTATTCCATTTACGAGATCCCAACGGCGACTTTTGAATGCAATTTTCGATATTTTGAACCAAAACTGGCCGTTTTCATGATACTGGAGGGCGATCGTGCCTCATATCAGGCACAGTATTGTTTTCTGATAGGTATCTGCAGAGGCATGATCGTCTGGCAAATCTCAAATACGTAGATCAAACAGCGCTCAAAGTTTAGAGGTTCGGAAAAATTATTGATTTTATTCTTTTTGTCCAGAATATCGAAAATTGGTTCTAAAGGCCTATTCAACCCATTTAGAGGCTCACTCCTACAGGGTGTTCTTATTTCTATGACTGTTAATACATATGGGGAGACGTGGTACAGACTTCTTTGCTCACCAATCAACTCAATGATATAGATATAAAACAGCAGACTTTATTATTTAACCTAATAATAGGCTATTTGACTAATTTTGCAAAATCATTTTAAATTATTCTTTTATATATAATGAGCACACTACATGAATATTTCCTGAATATCTATACTATTTTTAATAGAAATCAAATTTAAAGTTTGAATTTTTAGAACCGCGCCAAAAACGCTATTCCTGTGATGGCGCCGGCAGAAGACGTCTGTGACGTCACACGCCAGTAAACACGATCACGAGCTGTCAGCCGAAGTTAATTTCATTATTGTGCTTGATTTTGCTATAAAATCATAGATAAAATGGTCTATAAATGGTGTGTAGTGCCAAAATGTACGAATACGTGTATAAATAGTCCACAAACACTGTTTGTTTCTGTTCCAACCGATTGTAAAAGACGAAAAAAGTGGTTACTATTAGCTCGGAGAGACCCAAAGGGCATTTCATCGACTTCAAATGTATTTATGTGTGAAGATCACTTCGATGTAAGTATAAATTGAATATGTTATCTACTAGGTAGCTTAAATTACCGCTTTTTTTAAGATTGAAATAATATGTAACTATCTATAACCTCAAATGTATCTTTGGTTATGTTAAGTCAGTGTTGAGGATCAAAGATCCTGTTTATTAACCCTAAACTTATTACTCTGTAGGGTTTCAAAATGTTTTCTGTTGTTTTGATTATATTAGCTACCTACATATCTCAATAATTTTCTATGCTGTGTCATTTTACCTACTTTGCTTAATAGATAGTGATAGTTATGTTGAATTGCAGATGGAAAAAGACACCATTAACTACATGCAGTACAAAATGGGTTTCAGCAAGAAGATACTAGAAGATCGTAAAAGACCACTGTCTGATGCTGGACTTTCTCGAGGAGCATATGTCAACAGGAAAGGAATGGATTTGGTCAACACATGTTTGCAAAGTCAAAATGCTACTGAAGCCCAAGCTGAGGGCTTACAAAAAGATGAGAGTTTGATACAAGACATTATTGAACCTCAAGGTTTTTTTTTTATATCGAAACAGCCGCGCAGGCAGAAGGCTAAATGCCGGAACACCGCGGCTGCTATGATGATCCCAAAGAAATTTTGTTAATACGATTTTTGAACTGCCTAAGGTTAGTAGAACTGGGAAAAGCTTCCTCCCGTAGGTTGTTTTACAATCTAGACACCCTCGGGACAAAGGAGCGGTCGTATCGGCCAGTTCTGGATGTACGAAGTTTGACACGGTTAGGATGGGATGCCGAAGTCAGGCGGGTCTGTCTGGCAGGCGCATCGCGCGGCGGCATCATGGATGAGAGCTCTGAGGAGCAAAGCCCGTTGGTGTAGCGATAGAAAAGAGCTAGATCGCCGACGGCCCGCCGGTGCGAAAGAGTCCCGAGACTGTCTGTTAGACAAGAGTCATCGATCAGTCGGACCGCCCTCCTCTGGACAGCATCGAGCATGGACAATGTAGTCGGGGCGGCAGCACCCCAAATGTGTGAGCAATACTCGAGGCTAGGCCTTATCTGGGCCTTGTATAGAGTGAGAAGGTCATGCGGAGAAAAGTACTTCTTAGCCCTAAACAGCTTTTTCCCAGCAGCTGCAGCTATTGAAGAGATGTGTTCGTGCCAGATCAGGTCCTCGGTGATCTGGACTCCGACCAGCCGAAATGAATGGCTCTTTGGTAGAACTCGACCGTCCATCGAAACTGTATGAGCGCTAGGACGCTTTTTGTTCGTCAAGGTGCAGTACTGTGTTTTGGAAGCATTGAACTGTACAAGATTGTTGCGTCCCCAAGCAGTGATAGCCTCCAGGTCTCTTGTCAGAGAAGAAGTCGTCGCTAGTCTTCTTTTTTCCAGCTCAGCGGCAGAGATCGGCTTGTCACTCTGAATTCCTGCATGTAGAGTGCTGTCATCAGCGAAGGTGTGGATTGGGTTGATCGTGCAGGAAAGGAGGTCGTTGATATGTTAGAGAAACAGTGTTGGAGCCAAGACCGATCCCTGGGGAACACCCGCGTTGACGTTGTGGGATGAAGAGGAGAATCCGTCAATTACGACGGATATCTTGCGGCCAGAGATAAAGTCAGCCACCCATCTGCAAAGCTTTTCTGGGAGGCCGTAGGATGGAAGTTTGCTTAAGAGGGCAGCGTGCCACAGCTGATCGAACGCTTTCGTGATGTCAAGAGCAACGACATGAGCCTCACCATGAGTCTGGATGACTTTACTCCACAGTTGCGTGACGTAAGCTAGGAGGTCCCCTGTGGATCGTTGGTGCCGGAAACCGTACTGCCTGTCGCTAATCAAGCTGTGACGTTCGAGGTAGTCCAGAAGCTCGCGATTTATGCACCTCTCCATCACTTTACTTATAACAGAAAGCAAAGCTATAGGCCTGTAGTTGTAAGGGTCGGTTTTAGATCCTTTTTTTGGGATGGGCTGTACATGAGCAAATTTCCAGTTTTCTGGGAAGGTGCCGGATTCATAAGATATCTGGAAGAGACGCGAAAGAACTGGAGCAAGCTCCGCTGCACATCTCTTCAGTATGTATGTAATCTATTACATGTGTCCTATCATAAATTATAGTCTAAGAGCTGATAGACATTTTTGTAACCTATTTGAGGCCTTATAAAAACTTGTCTACTACTTCTTCCCTTATTTCTGAATAAAAAGGGCAGAACTGAATAAGGTGAGTAACTGTTGTCCCTAGGGGTAATGAGGGTATTTTTCAAAAAAATCATAAAGACATATTTGTAGCACATTGAGATTTTCACAGAATAATATTTATGGTTTAAAATTGATATATTCAAAGTGATAGGTCATTTTAGTGGGACATTTTACTTGCTAGGTGATCAAGAATGCTCAACTTGTACTTCAGGTACCTACTGGGTAATTTTCTCTCAAGCTGTTGATGTTGTGATCAAGAAAGTAATAAGAATCTGTTTACGAAATAGAATTATGATAGAATATCTCACAGAAAGCCAGCAAAAACGTACAACGCAATGTTTGTTTACTTGCATGTGACGTCACCAGAGTCGCAGCCAATCGCAGGGCGTTTCTGTGACCCATCGAATTTTTAAAAATAGCTGATTTTTATTTGATTATTTCCCAATAAAATATACATATTTAGGTGTACATTAAAGTACTATGTGTTTTCTTATTCTATTATCTAATAGGATCACCACAATTCGCAACTTATTTTCAATACTGTCAAATAGACTATTGCATTTTTTCTAGTGCATCGCTTTTGGTTTACATTCAGGGTATATCATTCTTGGAACCAAGTAAGGTTTTTAAAAAATGGAGTTCAACGTTTCAACTTCACAATTCAAACCTACCAACTGACATTACAGGAAGGATAATATCAGACTTTGTCATACCGGTTATACTCGTATAGTGGCGAAACTAACCTGAACAGGTAACAATTCGTCGCGGTCTGCATGTGCTTATTCCTGGCGATGACAGTGCACGTGCCGACGTTCCCCACAACGCCCGTGAAGAAGATCATGGCATAGATGGCCGTGAACGGGACGACCAATGAGATCGGGTACAGCTCGAAGTCTTCCTGTTGGCCTTCCACGAAATCCTGCAACTCCTGCAGTTCGACGCAGCCCCCCGTGTCCCCGCCGGTGCAGTTCGTTGTCAGGTTCATTTCGGCATTAGATGTGTGTTTGTAGCATGGTTATCCTGGAAAAAAAATTGGCGTCAAGTAGACTGACTCTACAGGGTGTCCCGAAAAAAGTGTGCAATATTCTACCAGCGGTTTCTGGAGCTTGAAATAGGAAGAAAAGTTTATATAAAGATAGGTCGACAAACGTCCCCTAAGGGCGCTACGGTCTTTTGAAGGAGCTCCCCTGAAGATGGTTTTTTCTTAATATTTCCGAAACGTGTTGAGATAAAGACATAACATTTGGTATTCTAGCCTAGTTTTTTATGCTAGATTTAAAAATATTAACAATTTTAGACAGTTTTGTTTGGAAGCGTATGTAACAGGGACGGACTCATGTTATTTTAGCCCCAAAATTTTTGTGTGATTCTATTTTTGAAATTCATTTTTGGAATTTGAAAATTTAGGGTTTTCTACATAAAAAGGGTACTCTTATTGAATATCGATAAATTGTGCCATTTTTTAATAAAATCAAACTAAAAAATTTGTCACATGATGGAAAATGTACTGCGAATTTAAACGAATTGTTGATTAAACATAGTTAGCTATGACTGCCAAGAAAAGTTGTTTTGATTTGTTATGACGTATTTTGACGTTAAGCTGACATTGTTAGCAGTGTAAAATTACTACGCCCCTGAACATTTTGGACGCAATAGTAATATAAGAGAATTTTCACAGCAATGAGCGTGTCCCGTCAACAATCTTGTGTTCTCCAGATGAAATCGATAACAAGTGGAAATATATATATAACTAGTTTTGAAACCTAGTAACTGCTTCTATAAGACGGAGAGAATGCCTATGTTGTGCAACAGCTTAAGATCAGCAAATCTTCGCGCAATTGCAAGAGGCAGCTTGGCATTGATGGGACACAAAACAAAGATGTATGTGTAAATTCAATCGGAGCAGATGCACTAAATGACCTTTTTGAAATTGAGGAGAGTACATACGAGGTCTGTAAATTAAGTGATGAGACATATTTTTAATTTTTTTATTCAGATATAATTACAATTTTATCTTGTCACTCTTAAATGACTTCCTTCTGAAGCTACACAGCGCTGGAAGCGGTTCTTCCACTCCTCAAAGCAGTGCTGGAACTTGCATGCTTGCCAGGAATATCAATAACTTTCAGTTTCTCTTATTTTTTATCATTCTGTGATCTGTATATTTGTCTGCTCTCTCTTTTCTCTGTTGTGGTCTCATATCTTGTGCTTTGTGGTTATAGAGCGGGTTTTCTACCATGTTTTCGGATGTGGCACAAGGTCACAAGGACTCAAGTCAAACTAGTAAGGAGGCTGAGGAGCCACAGGAATATTTTACTGGTTTATTAACGATGCTGTGACGAGGAGCATTATCGTGATGGACCACCGAGCTGTTCTTGATCTGATGAAAGGTGGTGTGAGTCAGACTCAGCGCTTCCCCAATCATTTTGACTATCAACTAATGATCCTAACGCACAACATCCCGGATTTTTCCGCTATTGTCTTCGGATTTTGAACATGAAGGCATTCCGCTTCGTAGTTCATCTTCAATCGACTGTCACCTTTCTTAAAATGCCTTAAACCACCGAAAACCCTAGACTCTTGACAAAGCACTATCTCCGTAGGGACTCTTCATCAAGAGCTTCTGTTGAAGCCAAACCTGATGGCACACCGTTGCTGCAAACTGATGTCACTCATTCTTAGAACCCAATATGAAAAACGTTTACACAAAAAAAATCCCTACGGAGAACCAAATGACTCGAGCGGATTCAAACTTGTACTGAAGGCGAAGCACATCTTCCTTTATACATTCTATTTGAGAGATACTTGAATTCTGATTATCTGTTTGATTGGAGTTGACTGACTGTGAATTTGTTAGATAGTTGAAATGTATGCCAGAAGGAACATAGTGTCTCCCCTCCAAGCCCCACGCCTCCAGTGTTGCCAGATCGAACGGTACGTTGTCAGTCTCATCACTTAATTTACAGACATAGTATAACCGCTATCTACACAGTAGCATCCCTACTATCACCGAAGCGCTCAGGTTTCACCTTGTTACTGAAGAAAGATATCTTGAATTTTTTATTAAAATCAAGTCGCAGGCTTAATTTTTTTCTAGGATGTGAATACGTACCTAAAAAACGGTAAGCAGCTAAAGCGAGACCAGTATCTAAAAATGTGGAAAATGTAACATATTCCCTTTTTTTGTACCGAGCCTTCTTTCATCGTGTTTTTTGTTCAGTGAGTGCCTAATGCGCGTTCGTGATATTCTCTTTTTAATCTGCTGACAGATAAAGTAGTATAATCGATGTATGATCGATTGTTGTATATTCTTTTTACAGTGCTTACTTATTTTATTTAAATATGTATCAGACTTTTTTAACAAGATAAATTTCTTCAATAAAATTATCCAGCAGGTAAAGTAAGGGCCTATTATTAATATTAACATTCATAATTATACATTATACATACAGTATACTATACAGGGTGGCGCATCGAAAACGAGACAGACTCATTTACTGGCAGCTCAGTCTTATTTGGAAAAACGCTTAGACCCGTCGATTTTGTTTTCGAGGAGGACACAAGTTTGGCAAAAAATCACGTTAACACGTGCAGCCCCCTGGGTGGGGGTGACACCAACCCTAAAATCTTAAATGGAAACGGGGGTCGAGTGATAACTTATTTTAAAGGTCCTTTAATTCCCTTTATAGTGATGTAAAATACGTGAGCTTCAGTTCAGTATTTGTGAAGATTTATTGATTTAAAGCTTAGACTTAGACTTTAATAGGTACATCAGATTAGTTTGTACTACTTTCATAAGAAATTTGACTAAAAGAATTTACTTAATAAGTAAATGCTTTTCTTCACTACGCCCATGGTTTGTTTATCATTTTGTTGTTGAAAATAGCTATTGGAGCGTTTTTTGTGGCAAAAAAGTTATTTCTTGAAGAAAGATAAGGAAATATCTCGTACTTATTATAAATAGGAATTTAGTACATAGTTTGCGATTGATTTGACCAAGCTTTGTTGCTAAAATAACTTGTAATGCTTTATTACATAAATTAACTATGGTATATTCCACAGTAGAAAGAGTTGAAATTATCGAAACATTTTTCGGAAACAATCAGTGCGCTAATAGAACAGCAGAAATATTTAATGAGCGACATGAGAACAGAAACGTGCATCGAAAATATGTTCTAGAACTTGTAGCTAAATTTCGGGAAACTGGGTCAGTCGCCAATAAAAAACGCAACTTTCAAAATCCCATAAGGAACGAAGCAATAGAAGT